ATTTTATTTTTTTTAAAATCCTATATTTCCCAATCTAAAAAATCAATTTAAAAAAATCATTAAATATATAAGAATAATATATATCATTAGGTTTTACTTTATTTAGATTATTCTTACAGCTTTACCAGATGTTATACATGCTGTGGCAAAGTATGAAGTAAACCATGAACCAAGAGAAATTTTCTTTTTTCGAGAAGGTACCATAGTAATGTGGAATATTTCTGAACTTGAATGTGAAAATTTATTAGAATTCTTAAAAAAATATGAACAAAATCGTTACATGGATTATGATGTACAATCTGAGAGTGAAGTGATGTGTTACAATTATGCAGAACATGGGTAATAATTTGAGAGATTCAAATTTCATTTTTACAATAATTTTATAATTTTATTTTTATATATTTAAAAATAGTATATTCACTTAAAATAAAATATTTTGCAGAAAAAGAAATCATATAAAAAATGGTAACATTATTTTAGCTTTAGATGCAACAAAATTAGATAAGTATACGTTTTCTAATGCAATTGCACAATCAGTCAAATTAGGCATATGGGAAGCATCTTTAGATAATTATATAGATTCTATAGAATTTGTTACTGAAGATTTAAAAGCTGGTAAAAAGTTAAAAATGACTCAACATGAAGTATTAAAAAAACAAGGGGAATTATTTGCATTGCGGCATTCTATTAATTTGAGCTCAGATTTATTAGATATTCCAGATTTCTATTGGGAAAGGGAAGATTTGGAACAACTTTATCAGGAAACTTGTTCGTATTTTAATATTGCAAAACGCACAAGAGTAAGTATAACAAAATTATTAAATTAATTATTTAATATAAATTTGTAAATAAAATATAAAAAATTCTAATATAACAAAAAATAAATAATTCTTTACATATATTTATATATTTTCATATTTTATATACTCATATTCTTTACATCAAAATAAATATAAAATATAAAATGAAGATTTTTCATTATGGTTCATTATGGATATTTCAAGATAAATATTTATGTAATATGAAAATAAATTTTAATTTTATTTTATAGGTAATAAATGAAAAATTAAATCATTGTGTGGAGCTTGTAGCAATTTTATCTTCACATTTAAGTGATCGTCATCACATTCGTTTAGAATGGATGATTATTATTCTTATTATGGTTGAAGTTGTTTTTGAAATATTACATTATATTGATAAGTATCTTTCATAATATAATTATATATAAAATAATTGATAATAATAATTAATAGTAAACATTGTGTATTTAATTGTAAAAAAATACATATATGTATAAAAAAAGTCATATATTTATAAAAATAGATATATAAAAATAAAATTTATATCATTGGAAAAAAAAATTTTTTTAAATTTTATAAATTGTGTAGTATTTATTAGTATTAATATATTCATTTTATAATATTTTTTTTATTTGTTTATATTGTCTTCTTACTATTTGATTAAGTTAAATATTATCTTTGATATTTACGTAAGATTTAGTTAATGTCAATTTGAAATACAATGCATCAATAATTGCAATATAGAACAAGAACACTTATTCTATATTATTACTTATTTTATATTATATAGTATGTTATTTTCAATTATATTCAATTCAAAATTATTAACATGTATATTTATTTATTAATGAAAATTATTATATTTACATTAATGAAAATTATAAAAATATATTTATTATATTATTTATTATTAATCAAAATTTAGTTTGCATAATAATTTTTATAATGTTTTAAAATAACACTCTGTAATATTATGGTATATATAATATGTAATTACATATGTATATAAATATATATGTATATACAAAATATACGCTATATATAAAATAGATAATTATAGATATAAAATAATTGAATGAAATTTCTAGTTTTATATACAATTTAAACTTATAACTTATTATTTTTTTTTTTAATTTGTATTTTTTTATTTAGTTCAAAATTTTCAGAACACATATATAAATATAAAATTTCTTTCGAACAATATAAAATGAATGAAATTAAAAATTATTTTTACGCAGTTATATTAATTATATAAAAGAGAAATGAACAAAAAAATATAATATATTTATAATAAATATAAATATCTGTTGCTTTAGTTTTTGTTTTTTTTAATTCAATAGAGATACTGTATCATAGGTGAATTTTTTAGTTAGATACATCCCTGTGAATTGTACGCACCCTTCTGCGCCTGTATCGAAAGTGAAACGAAATTGTAAAGCCAGTATCAGCTATAATAGTACCCACTTGTCGGATAGCTAGTACTGTGGCAAGTTCAATTCTGTGCTCATTTATTTCTTTATCTAATAATATCTTGGACAATTATTGAAATTATATTATGCATTTTGTAATTTTTTATAAATTATTTAATTATTTATGATTATGTTAATTCGAAGCAGTTATTCATTTATAAATTATATATTACACGTTAAAGTATATTTACGTAAGTATAAATATTCACATAGTTTGAAATAGTTTGCATATCAAAATTAAATTTCACTTATAAAAAGTTATGATAAGCATTTAAATTAATACACACAAACGAATTTCATATTAATTTAAAATATTAAGTATCGTATTTAATTTTACGTTTGTTTTTATCTCTACATGTATATATTCAAAATTATGCGAGTTTAATAATTATTATTAAACTGTAAAAAAAAAAATTGAATCTTTATTTTAATTTTTTCTTTTCTAAAATTTCTTATATATTTTATATAATAAGTATTTAAATTTAAATAGAAATTAAAATTTAAATCAAAATGTTTTATATCAAGCATATCATTAAATAATAATATATTAATTAAAACTATATGTAGTTTATTGCATTAATGATAAATATATTCATGTGTGTTTTTGCTCTTTGTGTAAAAGAATTCTATTACCGCAATCCTATGAGTAATAATGGCATGCGTCACAAGCTTCGATTGATCGCCTGTTAACGTAGAACTTCCGCGCTCATTTTTTTTTATTCAGTTACGATACATTTGCCACGCGTCACGAATTTCTTTCTCTTTGTTCCACTTTTTGTATTTTTCTTTTCTTTCAACGAATGCATTACTATTATAGATAACATATAATTAATGGACTAACTTTTATTAATCCATTTATAACTCTTTTTTTATTATTCATTTTTATTTTTATGTAAGTACATACATGTACAAGTATGTTTTTGATTTATTTAAAATAATAAATAATTATATTTAAAAATTAAAATAATTCAAAAATAAAAAAATACCAAAAATTTTACAAAGTCATAACAATTTTAGATATTACAATTTCTCGAATCATATTTTTAGTAACTTTATTTTCTATAGCAATTTCATAAATTATTTATTCGCTATATTTTGTACTTTTTCTTTATCTTATAAAATTATTTATTAAAATCTTTTGTAACTTTAATATAGTTGCGATATGTTAAGAAAGTAAGAATCGTTGTAGGTATGAACCACATTGAAATATCGATTTAGGTCCAAATATAGTTTCCCTTTAGTTACTTAAATAATATAGAAACGGAAGTATAGTAAATACTTGTTGCGCATCTATTTTGAGCGGAAACTGTTCTTTTAAACTTTACTTTTATCTAAGTAGTTTCTTCATTATACGTTATTAACATTTTCCAATATTCAATATTAAATTTTAATTAAATAATTAGATATTTAATAAATTATACATATATTTATAGAATATTTATAGAATAGTATTTATTTTATAAAAATAATTTAATTCTTTTTATGAATAATATTTTGATAATAAAACTTTTGATTTAATCAAATTTTCATAAATTTTTTGATATTTTTGATATCATTAAATCATTAAATCAAATAATAATTTTATTTTATTAAAAAATTATTGTTAAAAAAGAAATCAAAAGTTTTATTAATATAAAATAATGTAACTTTTCAGTACAATTATTTTTTCTTATATATATATTTATTTATTTATTTACTTGCTTTAAATTTTTATATAAAGCAGTTTATTAAATTAAAAATCTGCTTTTTGATATTTAAAATATATGTGAATTGTTATCAGTTAATTCTTCAAATTATTTGAACAAGTCGTAAAAAATACGAATAACACAGATGTCATGAATTTCAACATATAATGGAAAGAATGTAAAGAATTGTTAAATATAATATAATTTTTAATTTGAAAGAAAAATTTCAAAATTTATTTAAATTTATTTAAACGGATAGAAATATTAATTCAATATAACAAGAAATATATATATAGATATAATCAAAATGATTTATATATATCACAAAATTTATTAATTCTTTTTATAAAATTTAAATTTTAAATTTTTTGATATTATCATTATAGAAAATTTAATTATTTTGAAAATTATTATGAAAATAAATCATGATAAAATAAATCAGTATAAAGTCATACAGAATAAAAATAATATATATAAAATACAATATGTGATATATCAATCGATTCGTTTTAATGTATAGATTACGAAAAAAATATAAAAATTATTTTACAAAAATTACTATTATTTATAAAAATTATTTAATTAACTTTTTTTATATATCATATTCTACGATTCTAATGTCAAATTATAATTGATTGCATATTTTTATTCTCTACAGACTGATGTATATTACAAAATATTCATAATATATTTAAATTAATTTCAAAATTGTATTAAATTAAAAAATGGATATGACAGTAAAGGATATAAGTGGAGGAACCAGATGGGTCTGTCCAAATGATAGACATCTATCATTGAGAGCAAAGTAAGCATCAATATATTTTTAATATACATATTTATAATGTATATAAATATATATAATATTAAATATTAATATTTATGATAATTAAATAGATAATAGCATATTTTGTATTATATAATATGAATTATTTTTTTATTTCATTTAAATTTTTACATAATGATTTTGTTAACAACATAAATATATATATATATATTTTTATGAATTAATAAAATAAATGTAATAGATTGCAAACAGGTTGGTCTGTAAAAACTGCCTCTCTAGATTCAAAATGGGGTACATTTTCTAATTCTTATACAAGTGGCACAAATAGATGTGCACAATCATTTGTACTTAGTGAAGAAGAACAACAAACAATTATACAGGTAAAT